AAAAACTACAGGGTAGGCATCCTTGAAGTGATCAGACCATCTGATTAACTCGAACACAACAAGATGCAACATAACACTTTCTATCGAGAAGCGCCCGATAAATCCTTATGTCATCTTCCTCATGCAGCACATCGTGAAAGGTAGAATTTTTCAGATTCACACTTGTGACTTTGAGACCCTATATCTCCTTCATTTTAAGTCTGATTCGCCTAATTTTTGCGGTGTTGGATTCCTCTCGCAATCTAGTGTTCATTTCACCGTTTATATGCCTCATTCCGCCACTGCTTGGATGCCGTTGGACCGTTTAAAGTTGACCAAAAACGAGATTATTTTTCTTTTTTGTTTTTGTTTGCTCAGCTCTTGTTGCTAAAGTGTGGTCGGCGAAAGAATGTGCTTGACGAAAGCTTGAGGCTCACGATTGTTGAATACGCACTCGACGGCGAATAGTAGGGGTCGGCTTACATCTCGGCGTGGAAATTGCTCGGGGATTGTTCGAAACGGTAAGAAAATATTTCATAACTATGGTAACTTTGGCGGCTGAGATAGATGGGTTAAAAACTTCTTGGCCGTTTGGATTGCTGAAACACTTGGTCAGCTACCTCTTGATTGTTCGGCTTGCCAAAATGTTTGGTCGGTGACTCAGCAACTGCTTTGGTTGGTCGAAATGTTCCCCAATTGTTGATTTTAAAATTGATCTTATATGTTGTTCTCGAATTGTTTCATGCAGACGATGACGTTGCCATAAAGATAACTACAGCGTTACCGAACTGAAGCTGGGGTGAGTCGGCCATTCGGTTATTTGTTGAGCCATAGCACATAATTCTTTAATTTCTATTGATTGTTAGCACATGCACATGTATGTATATATCAAGAATCAACTTTAAAATAAACTTTGTCAGGCAATAAATTAATAAAGAAAGTCCCAGGTTGGGTTTGGCCGAGCAACTCATGTTATATTTCTGAAAAGCTGCTCTCACACAAAAAAGTGTGAAACTCATTTTTAGAGAGAGAAAATGAAGACACAAAAGTATATTTATGAATTCTGTTTTGTTTTAAAGCTTTTCCATCAATATTCATGTAAAAACCCACATTCATGCCTTAGTCATGCTTGCATGCATTTATATGTTTTGCCATGTTAAGTTGCATTGCCAATCTTACCTTGTTTTGCTTAAGTGTGTTGCATGTTTTGTTCCTTCCTTACTGTCTCAAGCCTAAGTCATGCCAAGTCTAAGTCATGTTAAGCCTAGGTTATTCTTAGCCGAGGTCACCTTAAGCCTAGAACTATCTTGGAACCACTTTGGTTGACCTCCACCTTCGTCCTGGCATATTGGCCGAGATGTGTATTATCTAGGCCGAGATGTTACCTTTGCACCTAAGTGATCTTGTTCCTGGATTGGTACGACCTAGACCGAGGTGTGGCACGTCTAGGCTGAGGTGTGGCACAGTTTGGCCAAGTGTTGTCCTTCCTAGCCGAGATCTTTGTTCCCTTACTTGCCGATGCCTTGTCATTAGCCGATGTCTTTGAAAGCCGGAGTGCCCTTGCTGCCTAGCTTGTTAAATACACTTTGTCTTACACATGTCTTGTCTTTCAATCACCTTTTGAGGAGAACCAACCCAGTAGTGCCACGTGTCTGAGCTGAATGTTAAATCAGCCGGCAGATAGAGAAACCATATCATTTCCATATCTTTGCTTTTGAAGAAAGGGAAGCTCTAGGAAGAGGGGAGAAGAAGCTCTTAGAGAGAGAAGTAGATTCCAAGCTTGATCTTTACACCTTGAGCTGTTAGATCCACATCTTGAGGTTAGATTCTTGATCTGATCTTGCTATTCTTATAGCTCATCCAGCTACATTGCATGATCGAGCATGCTTTGAAAGCCATGCATTGCTTTGAAGTTCAGTTTTAGAAAGAGAATATGATATTCATGTGTTCTTGAAGAAAAGTCATGATTTGATCCGAAAGCTTGCATTAAGATCCATGTTTTTGTATTTATTTTCCTAAGATCTTCAAGTATGGGTACCCAGGTCCATGTTTTCGAACTTATAGCATGAAATCCCAGATTTTGTATGAACAAGTTATGATTTTAGCATCCATGTTCTTTTATGTTCTCCATGTTCATATTCTTCATGTTCATCAAGAGGGAAACCCAGATTTTCCCGACTTCATTTCCATGAATGTGGCCACCGGGACCACACCTCGGCAAGGAGCTGTGGGACCTCCGCAAAGACCTGGTTGGTACCCAGCATGTCTTCCCGGCATGTAAAACAGTGTTTCACTTCAGCATGTTTTGCCTTGTCTTGACTTAGTTTGAAGGACTGCCGAGGTCATTTGCATGCATGTAAGACTTGTTTTGAGAAGTACATTCAGTGGACTTTGCCATGTGTTTGTAGGACTTGGACCTTTGATTTGATTCCGACGTCCCAAGAACTATGTGAGTGGTATTTTTAATAAAGTTATGTTATAAAGTTTTGATCAAGTTTTGGTTCGTTTTGGAAAAGTATTTGTTAAGCATGAATGATTATCCATATTTTGTGTATCAAGTATTAGCCTTGTTTTGGATGACATTCTGGGAAGTCCGTACGTGCTAGGGGACTCTAAACCTTTGTAGCACAAGTTCGTACGTGCCAGGGGACTTTAAGCATTTGTGGCACTAGTCCGTATGTGCCAAGGAACTCTAAACCTTTGTAGCACAAGTCCGTACGTGTTAAGGGACTTTAAGCATTTGTGGCACTAATCCGTACGTGCTAGGGGACTATAAACATTTGTAGCACAATCCATGGAAGTCCGTACGTGCCAGGGGACTTTAAGCATTTGTGGCACTAGTCCGTACATGCTGGGGGACTATAAGCATTTACAGCACAAGTCCTCCCATGCTAGGGGACTTTAAGCCCAAGTAGCACCAAGTTTGTGAGATCTCGGCCATCGACGGTCTATGAACGGATGGCCGATCTCTGCCAAGTACGTTTTGTACAAGTTATGTTATGTATTGTTTTGACAAGGACCTCGGGAATCATTCATTTAACCCCTTTATCACTTATACCATTCACTAAGTATTCAAGCTCACCCTCTCCTTATATATATGTAAGGAACAACCAAGAAAGCGGTGACGCCGAGATGTGTTTTGCTAGATGATGTTTGATCCTTATTATGCCTGCAAATCTTGAAGACTAAGCTTCTTGAATTATAGTTCAAGTATCTTGTTATGTCGGCTTGAGAAGCCTCTTGATCAAGATGTAATATTTGTACTTTATTTTATTTGTACCCAAGTTATAAAGCTATGTAAAGATGTATGTCATTTCATTTGATCTATGCACTGCTCTTATGGACTACTTAGATTTATATATATTGCTTCCGCACATGTAGGCCCCATATGTATACTCTGATTGTGTGTGAATCTTTGTAAGTTGGCCTTTGGTAATCTCGGATTACTAGCCATCACGGCACCATTCTACTAGGGGCGGAATGGGGTCGTGACAATTCACCATGAACAAAAGTTTCCACAAAATTTGTAAGTAGACACATATGTATATACAAGTCAAAAACAAATTGTAAAGTGATTTTACAGTAAGTTTAATCAGAAAGAAAATAGATCATCATCACAGTGTTATTGGTTGAATTTCCACTTACAGTAATAGTAACATGTTTGTTATTTACTTCGTTGAACTCTCTCAGATGATTCTCAAAGACAGCGCCAATTGTGATACCTAGAAAATCCTCTCACACGAATTATTGAAGAGACCCAACGAAGAGATGAGCTTGACTCTAGTAGATCTGTAAGGATGAACATAGTCGACGCCACCCAACCGAGATTATCGGCCAGAGACACTTTGATGATAAAATTAGCCACTGGAATCAGAGAAGGAAGATGAAGAAAATCAAGTGTGTTTGTGTGCCCTTTGGCAAAGAGATGAGGCATATTGTTCGGTTGGGTTGGGGATTCTCCACTCTTTCTTTACCACGATTTCATTGTGGTGATTTTATTTGTATCTAAAAAATCATTTTAGTGTGTCCAATTTATTTTAGAATTTAATGCATATTGTTCGTATTAGTAAATTTACATTAGAGTATAATACAATTTAAAATTTTAAAATTTTAATTAGCGTATTCAATTATTATTTAAGTGCAAATAGAGCCAGTTCTTCATTCTCTTTCATCGATCGAAATATTTGTTTTTGTGGTCGATGGATAGAAAGGGTAGGGGAAGGAAATCTGAAGTATAAATGGGAGGGAATCTGGAGCAAAAAACGAGAGGGGACGGGAAGAAGGAGATGAGACCCACAACTTGGAGGCAGGAGTAGAGAGATTGATTTTTTTTTTTAACCTGGTATCTAGTTTTATAGATCAATTAATTTGAGAGGTCAATCTCACTATCCACTAGCGAAGAACTCATGTGAGGGCTCAATTCCATCATGCACTAGCAAGAAACTCAATTAGATCTATTAATCTGAGCACCTATACTCGATTTTAAATTTTCTTTTTATAACTTAATATCTCTAATTTTAAAAGTGTCGAACCGAAGACCATATCTATGGTTAATCTCATGCTATAGTGATGGTAACTGGTTTTGATCAAGTTAATCGCTATGATTTGGTGTGATCAACTTAAACACACAAAAAAAAAAAAAAAAAAAAAAAAAAAAAAAATAGATTGGGAAAAAAAATTTCATTACAGACCGATAAAATATCAGATTAATCTAGTACATTGTATCATAAGATTTTAAAAAGAGATAAATAACTTCTATTGAACAAAGGATCCAAATAAAAATTAAGAAGTCAAAAAATGAGTAAGTAAATGTCATTTGTCTTGCTATTTTTTTTTTTGTTAAAATGAATTAACAGAAATAAAAAAGGAGAGTTAAAATTCTGTTTAATTTAAAATTTCAGGATTTAAATTGAAAAATTAAAAATTAAAAATCTAAGATTTAATTTGTAATTTATTTATAATTTTCTTACCACAAAATTATCTAATATTTTTTTGATAAATTCCGGAAGTATCCATAAAACTTGTTCAACCTTTACATACAGTGACGACAGGCTCTCTCTCTCTCTCTCTCTCTCTCTCTCTCTCATCAATCCATGGCGTCTACATTCATTACAGTATCAAAGGCTTTTACTTCTCACAACAACAACAACAACCCATCTTCTCTCTCTAACCAGAGACTGTTAGGTTGGTGGTTCCTTAAACCCTAAAAGCCCCCCATTCATTTCCACGAATTCCTCTTATTTACATTTCCCCCCAATTTTATTGATGATATTTGCATGCTGGGGTCTGAACAGGTGGGTGTAGAAATTCCGTGAGAGTCTGTGCGATTGCAAAGGAAATTGAACCCACAAAGGTTTTCTTTTTAGTTTTGTCTTCATATTTGTTGAATTTTTATACTAGTTTATGATTATATGGAGGTCTGTATGCTTAATTCTTCAAAATTACAGGTTGTTCCGCAAGCTGATAGAGTCCTGATTCGTCTAGAGAAGCTACCTGAGGTATCAATTCAATTTTTTGATAAGCATGTCACTTCTTTAGCTCTCTGTTTCTGAATTCTATTTATTGTACTTTTATGGTCCTGAAAATTGCTTTGGTTTTGTGTTCAATTTTTCGGAATGGAAATCGGGTGGTTCTGTTTGCTTCAGCTTCCAAATGTGTGTATTTTCGTGTGGGTGCATTTTCGGACACTAATACTGTACTGTGTTTGGTTGGGAGATTTGAGGAGTGATTTGAAAATGGAAAGGGAAGAGGTGTGTGGAAGTAGTTGAAATATTGGTATATTTTATTTTCATTTCCGCTACCTTTTCTATTTCTCTTTCCAAATCCTCTAACCAAACACACACAGCACAATGGAATTTCTGTCAATTTTAATAAATTTTGGTGATTTTATGAGAACAGTGTGGTTGACCATTTTGTCCTATTTCTTGTGTTGAAAACCCTTGTCTTCAGACAGAATGGTGCTTCATATGGTCACTGATTTCTGAAGGATGCGTGTCTGTGATGGATTTTGGAGATGTTGTTTGGCAGCCAAAATTTGTTGTTTTCTTTACTTATTGATTTTGTAGTCTAATTGAAAAAAATTTATTCCTTAGATGCTCCATTTTAAGTTCAACAGGACAAAGACAATACATTTAGGCAGGGAAATCTACACCTTTGGGGACTAAATGCCATTTCTGGCTTTGAAAATAGGATGTTCTGTAGTTAGATTGAGATATCATATCAAAATCATATATAGCACTAGACAGGTACTTGATATTCAAAAGTATGTATTATTTGTGTGTTAGTGGAATGGACTTCAAAAATAGAGATGAGATACTTATTGCCAACTTGTGAGTTATAACAACTTTGGCAGTCTAAATCAGTTGTTTAGAATTTTAGATTACTCATGTCTGAACCATGTAAGCATAAGAGGAGATAAAATGGGTAATCTAATCAGTTCAATATGGTATATTTGATTCTAATAATTGTCAAACAAGGATAAGACTACATTTGAAGGTATCAACGAAGTTTCACTTTTCCTTCAATTGATTGGCAGTCTTTAAGTATGTAATTTTAGTAAGTCTTCACCTTACCTAAAATTCCATGGCACGGAAAAGTTTGATGTTGTGCTTCAAGGAACCTGTCATCAAGTTGATATGAGACCATATCTCCGTACAACTTTTTTGAGGATTATCAGTAGTTACTATGTTTGAAAACATACTACAATTTATTCTCATACAATGAAAATATCCATTGGTTTAAAGTAGTTGTCTAGGGTATTGGCAGTTTTCTATGCATCTTTCTTTGGCTCTCAAGACGTGAAGATATCTCTTAATATAGTAGCTTCCTTTAGCATTGACAATGTTTTAAGCATTTTGACTACCATGTTGAGATTCCTACATGCTCTTGCTCTTGCTCTTGCTCTTGCAAGGTTTACTTATCTAACTTGGGTGACTTTGTAGTCCTCCTCCATGTAGCATACACAAAAATGGCATGATATAGACACGCTAACATGGAAAATCCTATAAAATATGATGCAACAGGGCAACATATTAATATAGTTGTATATATTATGCATGTTATGTATGAAACATATTTAATTTAATTTATTATAAAGAATATGTAGTTGAATTTATTATCTACTTATTTCTACTTAAAATTTGTAAAATGTGGAAAGTGAAGCTCCAAAAGGTTATGTATAAAATATGTACTCCCACAATTTGTTGTCTTCTTAGAAGCACGAGTATGGACGCAGTACTCGAATATGATACGGTACGACAAAAGCTTAGTTTGGTTTATATGTATATATGAAAATAAGAAAATTTTCATCTTTTATTTATATTGCACTATTTCAAAATAGTAAGAAATTATTTAATTTTCATATTTCATACATTGGAAAGGAAGTGGGAATTGGAAAGATAAGGTATGTGTATTTATTTTAAAAATTTCTATTCCAAACAAATTAGAAGTACTAGGTTTTTAAGGTTTCTAGAATTAAAATTCCTTAAAGAGTTATTAATATATATATATATATGTATGTATGTATATTGTTTCAATTTTAATCATTTGGCTCCTAATTCTTTACTTAAAACTTCAAGACCTATATGTGTTTCAGGTGATGGACACACATGTTTGAAGTATATTTGGTTCTAGAAAAGTTCAAAAACTAATAAGACTTGTTTAGACATGTGTCAAAGATATACTATGTTACAAGGACTAGGGTACAAGTATCAAGGTTTGGGTGTTTATCCAACCGTCAGACCTTCATAAATCTAAATCTTAAAATATTGGGATTTTTATGTATCCAAAAGTTGGATATGGATACAAAGACGTGTCATGGACACATATATTATATGTTATATAATGTTCTTAGATAAAATGTTATATTTAAATGTACTCGAAATTAAATATGATTTAGGAAAAATATGGAATTTCTATTTCTCATCAATGTGAGATGATAGAAATGTTTTTTTTTTTTTACTAACAAATGTGAGTTTCTTTTTCTTCAAACATCATAAAATATTAGAGAATCCAAGTGTCTAGATTGGATATGGGTCTCAAGACAAATATCTGACACCTTTATTGCTGCCATATCTAGTTGACATGGGTACTTTGGGAGAAGTAGAGTTCATGTAATGTAATGTAATGTAACGCAAAACATCTGTAAGCGTTTGCCCAATGTGTGTTGATGTCTTGCACGTTGGTGACACGAACACTGCTGTTTTGGGTCTTATTTATGCAATAATGTCTCCTCATGCAAAGTTTCAAGTTTTATTAAGTGGTTGTTTGGTGCTACTTATCTGAACTGCTTATAGTTTTTTTATTTTGGGAGTCTGCGCCAAACTGTTGTGGCACAAGTTCTGCTTATAACTTATTAGGTAGAAATTCAAATAGCTTAAATAAGTCAAAAGAAGCTGATTTTTGGAAATTGGGTGAGGGGTACTTTTAGCTTCTGCTTTTGGATTATCAGTTTCTAGCTTACAGTAAGTTGTGCACCAAACAACACCTAAAATGTGTCCTGGTAGTGTATTTGTTGTTGTATCAACATTAGGAGCAATAATCCCAATGATATAGTTTGTGTTATCTTTAGTTCTTTTAGAAACCATCATACCTGTGTGACACTTTAAACCTTAATCTACGTTGCCTTGCTAGTTCTGAGAGGTAAAGAGAAACATTATTGAAGTTTGTAACACTGGAATACATAAGGAAAACTCTTGTTGAGGTTTACATATTTTTTATTTTTGAGGAAAACAAATGTTGAAACCTTATCTGCAGTGGTGAGATCAATGTTTTTTAGCATATGGCCATTCAGTTTAATTATTAATTTTCTTGAAGTTAGTGGAATTGCTGCTGATAATGCTGAACTAAAGCCTCTCAAGAAGAATTGGTACGAATGTAAATTGTAAGAGAAAAGGAAGATCCCTACTTCACCATGCAATCTTTATAATTTCTAACTCATTAGAAATTGTACTTTCATGCACGACGTATGAACCCAATCACATTTACTAAAAAGCTCACAGACTATAAGGTTTTTCTTTTTCAAGCTACTTGTTTGGTCTATCCTCTTTTCCAAAACCTTTCTGGGTTGTTACCAATCCATTTATTTGTAAAACTGAACAATGGCAACAACAACAACAAAAACAAAAAACAGGAAGAGAGAGAGAGAGAGAGAGAGAGAGAGAGAGAGAGAGAGAAGTTGATTTTGCATATGGGGAATCAACATTGATATTATAGTTTTTAGCGTAATTAGTGCTATGTTTATAATATGATTATTCTTTGGTATTTCCTTTATTTTTAAATGAAAAATATATATAGTGGCAAACCATTAGTAGTCCTCTGTTGTAGTGACCTCTACTTGTCCTACTATTGCAAATTGTGTTCTTTTGTTATTTTTTAAATTATTATTTATGAAGTAACAGACAAAGATGTGTGCCGCCACAACCTTGTTGTAAACTGTCATCTTCATGAATGAAATGTTTTTTTTGTGTAGAAAACAGCTCTTGGAGTTTTGCTACCCAAATCAGCTGTTCAATTTGAACGCCACCTTATGGGGGAGGTGGGAAAAACACAAACACCTGTCCTGAAGCTGATGCAAATGCAATAATTCAGTTTTCCTTATTTGGGTTTTTCCCCTTTTCAGATTCTTGCTGTTGGTGCTGAGGTTGAGCAAGTTGAGGCTGGGAAGAAGGTAAGATTTGTAAAGGTTTGACTAGCTAATTTTCTTCAAGGGTAAATAATTTATTGCAATGCCAATCAATTTTGTTGCTTTGGGTATGACTTAATAAAGCATTGCATAATTGATGGCATATTTCTGGGTGCCTTTTCAATTGTCTAAAATAATGAAATGCTTCTTTTGCAGGTTCTTTTCTCCGACATAAATGCTTATGAGGTAGATTATATGACATTAACCTTAAAATTAACATGTAAAACTTAATGACTAAAGTCCGTTTACCAGGTGCTTACACGAGAATACCAAATCCTGGCCAGTTAACTTCTTTCTGGACTGTTTTCCAATACAGACCATAGGCCAGTGATGCATTTTCTTTATGTAATCATGTAGAAATTACAGACATTCTCAAGGGAGAAAAGGCTCACATGTGGCTAACAAAGTGGCTCTGCTGCAGGGAATGAGGCCTGTGGTTCATATACATCTAACTGGAGATAACTATACTCTTCTTATGTCTTGCTAATGTAGCAAAGATTGTAATGCTGACTAGGGTGACTTTTACGCTATGTTTGGATTGTAGATTTGGGTAGTGATTTGGAAAGGGAAAAGAAAGGGCGAGGGAAAGCTTATATTTCATTCACATTTCTCTTTTTTTTTTTCCTTTCTCTTTCCAAATCTCTACCCAAATCTATGATCCAAACACAGCCTTAGAGTGGGGCTGGTTAAATGATGAGGGGTTTGCTAAGCCCTAGCAGGTAATAGACCCCATATCTGCTGAATATCTATTGATTGCATCCTTCATAGGCAAGTTGAGATATTGATTAAGCGGATGTTACTTGTTAGCATTTATTTGTTGTCCTGTTACCATTGAAATAACACGACAATCCTTTTGTTGCTATTATTTCCATGAATCCAGACATGGGTAATGATATGCTAGTGTCTTCTCTATATAGGTGGATTTGGGAACAGATGCAAGGCACTGCTTTTGTAAAGCTGATGATCTGCTGGCTTTGGTTGAGTAGATGTTCCCCATTTTAGAGGTTTGACTAGCTGCAACTGTTGTTTTATGATCTGGTGTCTATTTGGGAGCGATATTGTTTCCTGTATGTTAAGTCTCTTACCTGTGAAACAATAAAATTCTGTACTTTATGCCCATTTATATATATATATATATATGTGTGTGTGTGTGTGTGTGTGTGTTTTCTGCTATATGAGCTTCCTCTATCAACGTTTCCTGAATGTTAAGGAGCATAGTTTGATGTTCTCGACAAATGGCTGTCTTAAGTTGTTGCTGATCTCTTTCTCTGAAGAATAATTGGAACCTATAAACAAAATTGCCTGTCGAGTTAACTGGAGGAAATTCTTCAATGTGATGGTTATTGAAGAACTGCCCAAATTTCTGGACTTGTATTTATGAGGCTTTTCAGGTCACGGTTTGGTAACATAAAGTTTACGAAGTTGCTGTGGCTGTGTCGCTCGGATGTGGTTGCACTCAAACCTTTTCAGGTGACTGGTAGGGACTTACCCAGCTGACAGATGAGAAATTTTTTACAGGAGCCTATAATTGGCTACATGGTGTATAAAACTACAAGAAGTTTGCTCCTAGACTTGGTTTGCATATATAGTTGGACTCGTATATGAGAATGAGGTTCTCTGTATTTTCATATGGGCAATATGTCAAGTTAAGCAGTGGACTACAAGAAGTCTCATTAAAATGAATGTAATAAAGATTGGGCTTGGCTTGTTTATTCGAGGAGCAATTTTGATTGAGCCTGCCATCATTTTTTATTTTTTTGAGAATACTAACAGCAATATCATTAATTAAGCAACAAAACATTCACTGTTAGCAATCATTTAAGTTCATGTAGACTTTTTTCTTTTTTTTTTATTTTTTTTATTTTTTGTTTAAACAGAATTTGTGCACTTAATAGTGTGTTTAATGTAGTCAAGCTCAATTTGACGAACAAAGCCAATATTCAGTCAACCAATAGGCTCCTACTAATCACTATCCTCTCATACACTGGCAACGCTTCTTTATCTATATCTATATAGGGTGCTCGGGATTATATCTTGACTAATTCAGGGTACTTAGATACATATTATCGAGATATAATGAGTTTTCACAAGTAGGCAATGGGATTGGTCTCCTAAGATTGATTGAGATGCATGCTACGCATAGCAGTAGCCATCTTGATTCCACGACCTTGTCGTATGTAGAGATGATAAAGCGGAGACTTGGCTCATGAAATGCCTCTCAAATTCTCTCTTATACCGTGTTAAAATTATTAGAGATAATATTATCAATTGATAATGAATGAATGAGCCTCACGATGATATTATCAATTGATAAGCCAATCATAGTAACTATAATCACGGTTTCTTTTTCTTTTTTTTTTTCTTTTTTTTTTGTCTTCAATAATTTTTTTATATATTTTAATTAATTCTTTTTTAACTTTTTCTAGTAATCCTAGAAACTAAAATATTGGTAATAGAGGTGGGCGTGGGTCGGTTGCGGCCACGAAACTTCCAATCTGCTATCCGTCTGTCAGATTGGCAGATTAGAGAAAATCAATCCGCATCCGTCCGCCAATTCGGCGGATGTGGACTGAGCGGATTGGCGGTTTAGCGGATGGATGCGAATCGGTTTGTCGGTTTAAAATTTTATAAATTTTCAACATAATTCAACTTGTGCACTTTTTCAAAAAAAAAGAAAAAAGAAAGAAAGAAAGTATTACAGTCAATGACTTAAAAAAGTATTACAATCAATATATACATTATTTAAAGAAAGAAAGTTTAAAACTTTAGAATATCACGATCACTGTATGCCTCATTCACATATTATAATCACAGCATGATTCATCCACTTACAATCTGTGGTTCTAAAAATATAATAACAATTCAAACCACCAAAACCATGAATAGAACAGTAGTAGAGATTGTATGTCTCTGTATTGTTACATCTATATATGTTTTTGAAAACAAAAATCAACCAGCATATATCATATTTTCTATTTATTATTTTTAGATTTAGATTTAAAAACCAAAAAATATATTCAAGTTGAACACTTTTTTTCAACAGAATATTTAAACTATTTTTCAATTGAAAACACAAACATAATATTTAAACAAATTGAAAACACAAAATCTTATAAATAACTAGCGGTGCTCGTGGTTTGGCGGTTTGGCGGTTCGGTTGCGGCCAAATAAATCTCAAATCCGCCATCCGTCTGCCAAATTGGCGGATTGGAGAAAATCAATCCGCAACCGTCCGCTCGTCATCACGCATCCGTCCAAAATGTGGCGGATCGGTTCGGTTCGGTCGGTTTTGGCGGATCGATATATCCGCTGCTCACCCCTAATTGGTAAAGTGTTTCAACCCTAAACCCAAAATATATATATATATATATATGTTCTCTTTAACGAACTTTTTCGAGAAATCTTTACAAATATTTTTTACTTCTCAGTGCATCTAGATTAAGAATATATAAAAAGTAAAATAAAATACACTAAAATATGAAAAAAAAAAAAATAGTAAAAGACAAAAAGAAATCACTAAAAATAAAATAATAAAAAGAAAAACTCAAAAACGATTTGAGGTCATAGTTTGTGTTAGATATGTGGTTTCTCAATACAAATATTATAGAATGATCATAGTACTCTTTCTCTGTCTGAGTCTCACAAAGGCCGCCAAATGGTCCGTCAGACATGGAAGAAACCGGAAAAAAAAGTCAATGGTCACTTGTTGTGAATATCACAAAAACAACAACAACAACAAAAACAAACAAAGTGGTGGATGCTTTGTCAAAGTCATGTTGCTTCTTTTGGGCAGTGACTAACAACAAGGAGGAGTATTCCCTTTAGCTTTTGGCTGATTAACGTTAAAGTTGTCTATATCTTATACTTATACTCATCAATTAAAAGTAAGGATGAATCTGAGTTATGCTTGTAGAGCACGTCAAACGATTTTACTAGAAAAAGCTCTTGTCATGCTTTCTGTGTTTTGTTTGGAGCTCTTAACTGTGCTTTTATTCCTCTTCCTCAATCTGTGCCCTTCTTCTTTCTCTACACTTTTGAAACTACATGAATCTCACAGCCACCACCAGCTCATGGCTTTTTAACTAGACAATCTATTTTAACCTAATTATCATGACTACTCGCCACATTAGAACATGATTGAAAGTGCTCGGGTTAATAATATTTGAGGAATGGACGACGTAATTTTACCTTATTTAAAATCATGGTCATGAGTCATTGTTCAGTATTAGGACTGGAATAAAAAGGAGAATAAGTGAAAAAATTAAAAAGAATTTTGAAACGGAGAAAAAAATATTTCAAATTTGTGTAAAATTATGCTCACTTCTCTTGAGATTTAGAGAAAATATAATTAGTCTCATATTTTTGGCATAATTATATTTATATTCTTTTTAGTAAGACTAAAATAATTAAAACTACTACAAATGGTGGATAAATACTGAAATATATATATATATATATACATTTAAATAGAAAAAAGATGACAATATCTTCCTCTCTTTCTTTTTTTTTTTTCATTAATACCACCAATTAAAAACTAATGAAAAGGGCATAACTGTTATGTGACCTAAAATTTCACGAGAAACAGTTTAATTATATCAAAAGTGTAAGATTATTTTTATTTTCTCCAAACATCAAAAGATATGAGTGTAATTTACCCTTCAAAATTTTATTATTACATGTTTACATCAGTTTGTAAAAATAAAATAAAATAAAAATAAAATTTATTCGTATAATATTTTTTTAAATAGAAATGAATCAATCCATAAGCAAAAATGTTGACTTAGACATTGGAGAGTTCCCGGCTGACCATCCATCCCAGCCATAGTATTCTTTTCTTTGCTCATCTACTTTCCTTATGCTAAATTTTGCCCCACACATTTATAAAAATTGCTGGTCACAGTCAATGATGTGGGTTCTCTAGATTTGGCTCATTTTTGTAGGCAAAAACAATATTAATGAGAAACCAACACACCCCACGTAAATTTCAATGTCAAATACTTGAGGAAAATTTGTAGATGCCAAGACATGCTTTGTGTTTTGTTGTTGTGACACCCAAAGATGACAAGGGCGATCCATGTTTTTTGGTTTATTGGGTTTTGTATGGGAGGTTGGACCACAAAAAAATAGTATATTATCGATGACATACCTAAAAACAATGGGAATTTCTATGTCACACGTTTACACAACTTGGTTGGTCGTAGGAGAGAGGATAATGAAGTCATTATTTTAAGACAAGAGGGAATGACAGGCAGGATCAAAAAATTAGTTGTACTCTTATATAAGATGACAACATTGAAATACAAGTTGTTGAATTTTAAAAACTTAATTGTTGTAATAAAAAAATAAAGGGAAAAAATGAATTTGGATAAAAGTTTAGGTCTGAAAAATGTTACTTACCCTGTCGTTTAAAATGAGAAGGCCACAAAAGACAATCATTTGATATAAAAATTCTATACAAAAAATCCAAAATGCACAAAATTAGAATACATAAGTAACACAAAATATACAAGTCTCGATATACTTTTTGGATATAGGACTTATTGTATCAAACCAATCAAAATATATGTATAGTTCACACATTTTTGAAAGTGTAAACAAATTGATTTTTCAAAATGTGGAGATATTATTTCACATGCCGCTCAAATTATATTGAACCATATGTAAAAGACTATGAGACTTGTATGTCCTATTTTATATCAGTAATGCTAGGTATCATGCAAAGTCTTTTATGAAAATGATGATGAAAGATTTATGACCTTTGGATTATACTTAGAATAAAGTATCACACACTAATCAAAAGTAATTTAAGGATCACAAATCTTTCATGATCATTTTCATAAAAAAAATTTCATGATCCCTAGGATTTCTCATTTTATATTTGGTCTCTATATTCTCAATATTAGTGTACAATATATTTTATGCTTACTTTATGTTTCAATTCTGTGCATTTAGTATTAGTGCTAAAGTTCTGTTCCTATAAAATTACTCAAACCAAATATTATTCGGGGTAAAAATTGCTTTTGTCAAAACAGGGCACAAAACTCAAATCCATAGGTATCTGTATGTTTGTGTGCTCTTTTTTGGTCAACAAATTTGGCCAGCTTAAGTAATACATATTTGAATTTCCGTAAAGCAATTTCTTCACTCTTGGCCAGCAAGTTCTATATTGTGTAAGCAATACATAATAGATTTGATTCTCTAACTAGAAGTTCTATTTGTAAGGATCAATGAACAATCAAACAAAATGCAACAAAATCATTAACAGAGATTTACATACCTAAAAGAAATATAGGAAAATTGAATTATTCTAATTTTTTGCTACATAATCGAGTCTGTATATTTGAAGCAAAAAATTAGAATTAATTTTTGAAAATCTGAATTGCCTAAAAAAAATTTAAATTTACCAATCATACCCCTGAGAACCACCGAAACATCTCACTTATCTCTTCTCCAATACGATTAGCCTCCAATTCCTCGTCGACGGCGACTACCGTGTTGCTCCGGCGACTACTACCGGTGAAAAACCTGCCGGAGCTGCGAAATGACACCGTGCGAGACGAAATCGACGCAAGACGATCCACATAGTCTCTCAGCCAGCTTCGTCCAGCGACTTCAGAAGCTATATTCTCTCCCGGCGGCGCGTTCACCACCACCGGTACTCCGGCCGAGTCCTTGCTAACGGAAGTACAATCAGAGAGTCCTCGCCGATGTGTGGAATCTACGGAGACTTCGTAGCCTTCGTCAACAATATAGTCGAACGAGCCGATTGAGTACGATCTTCGACCATCGCTGGAATCGGACATACCTCGTCGTCGACTCACGCTTCCGATCTCAATCCGGAAACTGTTCCCGCGATCTTCTGGAACCGTGGACGAAATGATTTTATTCAACACGTCTTCCTCAGTAGGATACACAGCGGACCTGCACAACGGACACGTTTGATTGGACGAAAGCCACGCGTCAATGCAATCGGTATGGAAAGCATGACAACACAAAGGAAGTAACCGTAGCTGATCGTTCCTCTCGAACTTGGATAAACACACAGCGCAGTCGCCGCTAACGATGTTTCCGGTGACGGAACCGAAAGTGAAGAGAGGAAGAGAGTTGATCAAATCGTTGGGGGAGTTACGCTGCTCGTATAAACACCGATCGCGATTTGAATCGTGGCGGTTGTTTGTGGAGGAGACGACGTCGTCCACGGCTGCGAAGGAGCGGTTATTGCAGTGGCGAGTGATGAAACGGAGGAGGAGGTAGAGAGAGGCGGTGACGATGATAGAGGAGGCGACGATGATGATTACTATAATGAGTGAAGAAGACGGAGACGAAGATGACGACGGCGGAGAAGAGTCGTTGTGGTTGATCTGAGGGATTGTGACGGTGGTGGTACCTCCTCCGACGGTGAGGAATGGCGGTGGATAAGCATCGTCTACACGAGCAAATACACGAGGCATGTTTAGAGAGAGAAAGAGAGAGAAGGGGGGAAGGGGGGGTTGATGGAAGGTTGATGTATTTAAGTCACCGGTGAGAATTGAGAATCACGTGAGGAGCACAAAGAGAGTATATTGATTGGTAAGGCAGCTTCTTTTTCTATATACGTATATATTGAAAAATGTTCTTCAAAATAATTATCAAAGATTTTTGGTCTTTAAATTACATATTATAACTTACTATATATCTATATATATATGAAATCTAAGAATCTAGAATTCGAATTTTCAATATAAAAGAATTTGAGAGATTCATAGCGCCCATTATATATCTTGTTTCAATAATAATAGAGACCACTAATTTTAAAATTCTAAAAAGACCACTAATGACATGGCACTCAATAAAAAAAGAAAAAAAAATACAAACCAAGGCTAAAACATCAAATCAGTCATGGTGGGACCTACTACCACATCATTAGTGCTCCCACTCATTTTTCATCTTGTTTTGATGATTCAACTTTTTAAGAATTGATAATTATTTTTAAAATTATATTTATCGTTTATTTTTTAAAAATAAATATGATTCAATTATATAACTATCTATATTTAATTATTTTAATTTTTTATATAAATATTTTATTTAATAAATTTTTAAAAAATAAATAATTAAAATTATTAAAATTAATTTTAAAATAAATTTACTAAGTCCAAACAATTCTACACTGTGATTTTTCTCTGTAGAGAGGTCGTCGTACAGAGAGATATGGCTTTGTTTGGTTTGTGTTTCTCAAAAAATTTTGAGAAAAATTCTCTACAAATAAGTTTTCAAAAGTAATCAAACCAAAAAAAATTTCCAAATTTTTTTTTTAAAACTTGTTTGGTTTACAAGTTTTCCAAACAAATCTCTCTCTCATGCACATCAAATCAATCACTTTTTTCAAAACTCTTTCTCAAAATAATTTTTCAAAATATCTTTTGAAAAAAATCAAACCAAATAAATTTTTATATTTTTTATCTCAAAATATATTTCTCAAATACAAATCAAACAAGCCCACGGAATAAATACGCGTTTTGAGAGAGAGAGAGAGAGAGAGAGAGTATGTGAGTGAAAAAGAGAGAATTTAAAGACACTTGACTAGATGGACTAGGCCATTGTTAGAAAAAATATTAGTTGGTCATTTGCCTCATGTAGCCATGTTCTTGACTATCTATAAATTTTTATATTTTTTAATCATTTTATATAAAATTACGAAGTTTATAATTTCTATCAATCAAATCATACGTGAAACATTACATGACAGTATTTAGATGAACCAATAATTTCTCTTAGTGTTGGGGTGCTTCGTGTCCTCTTCTTCTTCACGGCAAATTATTTAATAATTTTAAAATATTACGTGTTATATTTTAAGTTAATTATTAATTATTTAGTTTCATATTATTTTTTCATCTCTAACATAAATCTTGGACTCCTATCCTTCTCTACTAATCAATTACTTAGTTTCATATTATTTCTCTATCCCTAACATAAATCGTGGGTCCCTACCTCTCTCTACCAATCAAAATATTATGAAGCACTAGGTATCTATACTCCGAAAATACTGAATAATCACCACCTCTTCATGTTTTATGTCCAAACGGAAACAGTAATTTTAGGTATTTAGCACCAATTTTTTTTTTACTAATATTAATGTGATTTTTTAAATTAACTCTTATATAATAAGGTTTATACTTTGTCAATTTGGTAGAACTGTGGAAAAATGATTATAACTTATAGGTTAATAGCTTATAACTTATAGCTGTGAACATAAACTGATTTTTGACTTATAAATTAAGCTTTTCCTCCCCCACTCAAAGAATAAGTTGATTTTTGACTTACAAAAAGTTATAAACTGTATTGTTAAGCTGAACTAAACACATCAAAATAGTTTAAATTAAGCTAAAAGCTGAAATAAGTTAGAAATAAGCCCTACCAAACAGGGCCTTTGTCTGAATACTTGAATTACCCAAAAAGAAATAATGGTTTTTTCCAAAATGATAATTATCTTTGAGATTGTTCAATATTGGAATTGAGATGAAAAATACCATGAAATAAAAAAAAAAAAAAAATTTAAATCAGTAGAGAGTATTTTGAAAGAAAAGGTGTTTTTATTCATACTTCTCTTTTATACTTAAAATACTTTATTATTTGTTTTATTTTATAAATTCTTTTAAATGATGTAACATTCTGTAAAATTTTCTTCGTCGCTCGAGCGAAAAAGAGTTCACTCGAGCAGTCCTTGAGGTCTTCACTTTGGTTTGCAACCTAAACTTCTAAGAGATCACGTTCTACGCTCAAGCGAAGGTTTCATTGCTCAAGCGGCCTTCTATCTCTAACGCTCGAGCGCAAGTTCCATTGCTCGAGCGGTCTGTTCGGGATCAACACTTTAAAAGTCATTTTTTGGTCACTTTTTCTTACTCTTTAGATTTTTCTCTCGCTTCTTCCACTTTTCTATCATTGTTGAGTTTCAAACCTCCTAAAACCTTAGATTTCATCTATTTAGAGTAAGAATCTCACCCAATTTCTTTATACAAAAATGAAGAGCATGAAGAGAGCTTTCTATTAGTCTGAGCAGATCGCATTTTCATTAACGTTGGATTTTTGAGCCTCCTTCTCTCCTTAATAGAAATAGGGATTTCTTTGCTTCTTTCAATACTTTTGTATATATAGATGAGTGATATGTTTTTATTATATAAATCTTAAATTGAAAGAGATTTTCTTGTAGAGAAATGTTAGGATTTTTTGCACAAAAGAGATAACCTACGATTTAAAGTTGATTATAAAAGTTTTGAGTTACTGAAATATGATTATACATTTTAAAATAAGAAGTCCCAATTTTTATTCCAATCCTTGTTCAAATTTTTAATTAAACATGGGGTTTTCTTCAATTGGCTTTAAATCCATGAAACTGAGTTGATGTTTGGTTAAATTGAGTATAAATGTTGATTATGAAATGTCGTGAGAATGATTCTTGAGCAATGGGTTCAGGTGTAGTAAATGGGTAATGAGAATTGATGGAATGAAATGGATTGTGTGATTTAAATCAAAGGAGTTGATTTTAGAGTATGGGAAATGGTGGAGAAACAATTATGTTCTTGCATAAAGATACATTTTACTTTAATGGTTGTGTTATTGGTGCAATTTGTTTTGAATTGAAAAGATGAGTTGTGGAACAAAGTCTTTTCCTTCCGGCTCGTGACCATTAAAGCGTGGCCCTTAATAGAGGTGTTGCCTTTCTTTCAGAATAGCCCGGTAAAGCGTGTGGATTATTGGGCTATATGGAGGTCCTGCTTTCTTTCCGGCTAGCCACCGGTAAATCGTGGCGCTTGATAGAGGTTTCAGCTTTCCTTTCGAAGTAGTGTTCGGTAAACTGTGTTGGTATGGCCTGGCAAAGTTGGTTATTGGCATGTAATCATTCATTGAGAATCTTGCGATAATTCCATTATGTGATTGTGAAAATTGTTAAATGTATAAGTCGAAATGTGTAATGTGAAATATCGTTGTTAGTGAGTTAGCTCTTATAACTCAATTATTTGGAACGTGTTGACTTTGTATGAGCCTAGTGTTATGTGGATTTATGTTGGGGTGAAGGGTTGTAGTAGAAATTAAAATATATAAATGAGATAAGATGGAAAAACAAATCGAACTGAATAACTGTAATATGCGAAATGTGTTGTGGCATGTAAGTGTTTGGTGTTATGTGGATTAATGAGTGTGAAATATGAATTAGAAATAGTAAATAATAAGTAAGCTTAAAATCTTTATATGATGAAACGAGATTTAAGGGAATCATAGGATTGAATTTTTATAAGATAGATAGTTAACAAATGAGGTTTCTATGAGATGGCAAGTGGGATTTTTATGAAAAGCTTATCTATCTATGTAATTTATTTTACATATAAAAGGACGCACTACTTATGTATGTATCACAAGATAGCATTCATGATTGCATATATCTATTAATCTTATTGTCAAAAATCATTGTAAATCCTTCGTGTTCATCCCATGTTGTTTAACCATTTTACATAAACAAAACCGGGTGCAACAGTTTGAAGATCGTAAAGTCCTAGTTCTTTGAGACTTCTTACTATGTGAACTGTAGATGAAGTGTTATAATGTGGTAATAAGGGTGTTATTCTATGATTGTATATGAAACTGTGTAATCCTTTATGTAAGCCTTGAGTTATGTATTGTAAACATTTATGTAGAACATTTCAATCATTGTAATTATGGAAGAGAGAACCTCATTTAATTTTTTTTAGCTTGCATTGTTTCTTTAACTATTATGGTAAATGGATGTTCATAAGGAATAGTGGTAATTTATCCGTATAATAAAATCTGGGGCGTGACAAACAATGAGAGAGGAAATGTGGATTTTATTATAATGTTACAGAAAATAAAAATAAAGGAAAAATATAAATTCAATGTATATTTTAGAATAAAATTTTAGATAGTGGTAAACTTTACAAATATTAATAATAAAATTTTAAAATTTTCCATGAATCTGTAATTATTTTGTGAAATTACCATTAAATTGTAATTTTGTCAAAAATAAAGTGTTTTTTTAACCAAAAAAGAAAAAAGAGAGCGCTAATAACACCACCATTTTCTAATTAATGAAAAATGTCGTTTTTTTTTGTCATTTTCTTTGCCCCAATTGCACATGTTTTGTTGCCCTCATTAAATTTAAATTTAGAAACAAAACAAATTTCTTTGTTTTCTTTACACAAAGGCTGAGATTTGAATTCAGTCAAAATTTAATTATAATATTAGTACTAGTTCAAAACTAAAGTTCGTCATTGATATATGAAATGTCAGAACTAATGTTTGTCATAATTTATGTAAGGGATGTATGTATACTACATTTAATGAGTGACTCAATTAAAGCCGCTTTTGGTGGTGCATTTGTTTTTTAATAAAGTGCTATTAATAAAGTGTTTTTGAATTAAGAGTGTTGTAGAGAAGATGAGTAAATAACTTTAATTGTTATTTAGAGAGAAAACATTTTTGGGCAACTAGATACTAAAAAAAAAATCCTATAAAAATT